TTATTACAACTGCTATAAAAACAACCTCAGATTTGACTACACCTAGCTTAACATCTGTTGAAACTACATTGGCTCAAACTACATCTCCAGAAACTACTTTTCTGAGGACTACTTCCAGTCAATCCACACCCTCAGTTAGTTCAACAGAAAATGTATTGGAAACATCAACACCTGTCATGACAACTGCTTTGAAAACAACCTCAGCTTTGACTACACCTAGCTTAACATCTGTTGAAACTACATTGGCTCAAACTACATCTGCAAAAAGTACTACCCTAGGCAGCACTTCAGCAGAAACGTCTCCCAAAGGAACTACTGCTGAAATGACGTCCTCAGTTAGTTCAACAGGAATTGTATTGGAAACATCAACACCTGTTATGACAACTGCTATGAAAACAACCTCAGTTTTGACTACACCTAGCTTAACATCTGTTGAAACTACATTAGCTCAAACTACATCTGCAAAAAGTACTACCCTAGGCAGCACTTCAGCAGAAACGTCTCCCAAAGGAACTACTGCTGAAATGACGTCCTCAGTTAGTTCAACAGGAATTTCAATGGAAACATCAACACCTGTTATGACAACTGCTATAAAAACAACCTCAGTTTTGACTACACCTAGCTTAACATCTGTTGAAACTACATTGGCTCAAACTACATCTCCAGAAACTACTTCTCTGAGGACTACTTCCAGTCAATCCACACCCTCAGTTAGTTCAACAGGAATTGTATTGGAAACATCAACACCTGTTATTACAACTGCTTTGAAAACAACCTCAGCTTTGACTACACCTAGCTTAACATCTGTTGAAACTACATTGGCTCAAACTACATCTCCAGAAACTACTTCTCTGAGGACTACTTCCAGTCAATCCACACCCTCAGTTAGTTCAACAGGAATTGTATTGGAAATATCAACACCTGTTATTACAACTGCTTTGAAAACAACCTCAGATTTGACTACACCTAGCTTAACATCTGTTGAAACTACATTGGCTCAAACTAAATCTCCAGAAACTACTTTTCTGAGGACTACTTCCAGTCAATCCACACCATCAGTTAGGTCAACAGACATTGTATTGGAAACTTCAACACCTGTCATGACAACTGCTTTGAAAACAACCTCAGCTTTGACTGCACCTAGCTTAACATCTGTTGAAACTACATTGGCTCAAACTACATCTCCAGAAACTACTTCTCTGAGGACTACTTCCAGACAATCCACACCCTCAGTTAGTTCAACAGGAATTGTATTGGAAACATCAACACCTGTTATTACAACTGCTGTGAAAACAACCTCACATTTGACTACACCTAGCTTAACATCTGTTGAAACTACATTGGCTCAAACTACATCTACATTGGCTCAAAATACATCTCCAGAAACTACTTCTCTGAGGACTACTTCCAGTGAATCCACATCCTCAGTTAGTTCAACAGGAATTGTATTGGAAACATCAACACCTGTTATTACAACTGCTGTGAAAACAACCTCAGTTTTGACTACACCTAGCTTAACATCTGTTGAAACTACATTGGCTCAAACTACATCTACATTGGCTCAAACTACATCTCCAGAAACTACTTCTCTGAGGACTACTTCCAGTGAATCCACATCCTCAGTTAGTTCAACAGGAATTGTATTGGAAACATCAACACCTGTTATTACAACTGCTGTGAAAACAACCTCAGTTTTGACTACACCTAGCTTAACATCTGTTGAAACTACATTGGCTCAAACTACATCTCCAGAAACGACTTCACTGAGGACTACTTCCAGTGAATCCACACCCTCCGTTAGTTCAACAGAATATGTATTGGAAACATCAACACCTGTTATTACAACTGCTTTGAAAACAACCTCAGCTTTGACTACACCTAGCTTAACATCTGTTGAAACTACGTTGGTTCAAACTACATCTGCAGAAAGTACTACCCTAGTCAGCACTTCAGCAGAAACGTCTCCCAAAGGAACTACTGCTGAAATGACGTCCTCAGTTAGTTCAACAGGAATTGTGTTGGAAACATCAACACCTGTTATTACAACTGCTATAAAAACAACCTCAGATTTGACTACACCTAGCTTAACATCTGTTGAAACTACATTGGCTCAAACTACATCTCCAGAAACTACTTTTCTGAGGACTACTTCCAGTCAATCCACACATTCAGTTAGGTCAACAGAAAATGTATTGGATACATCAACACCTGTCATGACAACTGCTTTGAAAACAACCTCAGCTTTGACTACACCTAGCTTAACATCTGTTGAAACTACATTGGCTCAAACTACATCTGCAAAAAGTACTACCCTAGGCAGCACTTCAGCAGAAACGTCTCCCAAAGGAACTACTGCTGAAATGACGTCCTCAGTTAGTTCAACAGGAATTTCAATGGAAACATCAACACCTGTTATGACAACTGCTATAAAAACAACCTCAGTTTTGACTACACCTAGCTTAACATCTGTTGAAACTACATTGGCTCAAACTACATCTCCAGAAACGACTTCTCTGAGGACTACTTTCAGTCAATCCACATCCTCAGTTACTTCAACAGGAATTGTATTGGAAACATCAACACCTGTTATTACAACGGCTGCGAAAACAACCTCAGTTTTGACTACACCTAGCTTAACATCTGTTGAAACTACTTTGGCTCAAACTACATCTGCAAAAAGTACTACCTTAGGCAGCACTTCAGCAGAAACGTCTCCCATAGGAACTACTACTGAAACAAAGCCATCAATTAGTTCAATAGGAAGTTTAATGGAACAATCCACTTCTGTATTGACCAACCTCAGTTTTGACTACTCCTCAGTTTTGTTTATGAAAACAACCTCAGTTTTAACTACACCTAGCTTAACATCTGTTGAAACTACATTGGCTCAAACTACATCTCCAGAAACTACTTCTCTGAGGACTACTTCCAGCCAATCCACACCCTCAGTTAGGTCAACAGAAAATGTATTGGAAACATCAACACCTGTCATGACAACTGCTTTGAAAACAACCTCTGCTTTGACTACACCTAGCTTAACATCTGTTGAAACCACATTGACTCAAACTACATCTCCAGAAACTACTTTTCTGAGGACTACTTCCAGTCAATCCACACCCTCAGTTAGGTCAACAGAAAATGTATTGGAAACATCAACACCTGTCATGACAACTGCTTTGAAAACAACCTCAGCTTTAACTACACCTAGCTTAACATCTGTTGAAACTACATTGGCTCAAACTACATCTCCAGAAACTACTTCACTGAGGACTACTTCCAGTGAATCCACACCCTCCGTTAGTTCAACAGAATATGTATTGGAAACATCAACACCTGTCATGACAACTGCTTTGAAAACAACCTCAGCTTTGACTACACCTAGCTTAACATCTGTTGAAACTACTTTGGCTCAAACTACATCTGCAAAAAGTACTACCTTAGGCAGCACTTCAGCAGAAACGTCTCCCATAGGAACTACTACTGAAACAAAGCCATCAATAAGTTCAATAGGAAGTTTAATGGAACAATCCACTTCTGTATTGACCAACCTCAGTTTTGACTACTCCTCAGTTTTGTTTATGAAAACAACATCAGTTTTAACTACACCTAGCTTAACATCTGTTGAAACTACATTGGCTCAAAGTACATCTGAAGAAAGTACTACCCTAGGCAGCACTTCAGCAGAAATGTCTCCCATAGGAACTACTACTGAAATGACGTCCTCAGTTAGTTCAAAAGGAAATGTATTGGAAACATCAACACCTGTTATTACAACTGCTGTGAAAACAACCTCAGCTTTGACTTCACCTAGCTTAACATCTGTTGAAACTACATTGGCTCAAACTACATCTGCAAAAAGTACTACCCTAGGCAGCACTTCAGCAGAAACGTCTCCCATAGGAACTACTACTGAAACAAAGCCATCAATTAGTTCAACAGGAAGTGTAATGGAACAATCCACTCCTGTATTGACAAACCTCAGTTTCGATTACATCTCAGTTTTGTATATGAAAACATCCACTCCTATATTGACAACTGCTATGAAAACAAACTCGGTGTTGACTACACCTAGCTTAACATCTCTTGAAACTACATTGGCTCAAACTAAATCTGCAGAAAGTACTACCTTAGGCAGCACTTCTCCAGCAACTACTTTTATGAGGACTACTTCCAGTGAAACGAAACCCTTAGTTAGTTCAACAGGAATTTTATTGGAAACATCAACACCTGTTATTACAACTGCTGTGAAAACAACCTCAGTTTTGAGTACACCTAGCTTAACATCTGTTGAAACTTCATTGGATCAAACTATATCTGAAGAAAATACTACCCTAGGCATTACTTCTCCAATAACTACAACGCTGAGGACTACTTCCAGTGAAATGACACCCTCAGTTAGTTCAATAGGAAATGCAATGGAAACATCCACTCCTGTATTGACAACTGCTATGAAAACAACCTCAGTTGTAAATACACCTGGCTTAACATCTCGTTTCAAAACTACCCTAGGCAGCAGTTCAGCAGAAACGTCTCCCATAGGAACTACTACTGAAACAACGCCCTCAGTTAGTTCAAAAGGAATTGTATTAGAAACAACACCTGTCATGACAACTGCTATGAAAACATCAGTTTTGACTACACCAGACTTAACATCTTCTCTTAAAAATACATTTGTTCAAACTACAGCTAATGCAGAAAGTACTTCCTCAGGCTCTACATCTGCTGACACAACACCCTCAGTTAGTTCAATTGGAACTTTATTGGAAACATCCACTTCTGTATTGGCAACTGCTTTGAAAACAACCTCAGTTTTGACTACAACTGGCTTAACATCTGTTGAAACTACATTGGCTCTAACTACAAGTGATATAGAAAGTACTGCCATAGGCAGCATTTCTCCAGAAACTATTACTCTCAGGACTACTTCCACTGAAACGACACTCTCAGTTAGTTCAATAGGAACTGTATTGGAAACATCAACACCTGTATTGACAACTGCTATGAAAACAGCCTTAGTTGCAACTCCACCTGGCTTAACATCTGCTGAAACTACATTGGCTCAAACTACATCTACAGAAAGTCCTTTCATAGGCAGCACTTCTCCAGAAACTGTTCTGAGGACTAATTCCAGTGAATCGACACCCTCAGTTAGTCCAACGGGAATTGAATTGGAAACAACACCTGTATTGATAACTGCTATGAAAACAACCTTAGTTGCAACTCCACCTGGCTTAACATCTGCTGAAACTACATCGGCTCAAACTACATCTACAGAAAGTCCTTTCATAGGCAGCACTTCTCCAGAAACTACTTCTCTGAGGACTACTTCCAGTGAAATGACACCCTCAGTTAGTTCAACAGGAATTGAGTTGGAAACATCAACACCTGCTATGAAAACAACCTCAGTTGTAAATAGTCCTATCATAGGCAGCATTTCTCCAGAAACTGCTCTGAGGACTACTTCCAGTGAATCCACACACTCAGTTAGTCCAATGGGAATTGAATTGGAAACATCAAAACCTGTTATGGAAACAACCTTGGATATAAATACACCTGGCTTAACATCTCCTGTTGAAAACTACATTGGCTCAAACTACACCTGCAAAAAGTACTACCCTAGGAAGCATTTCTTCAGAAACTACTTCAGAAACTACTTGGATGTGACTACACCTGTCGAATCTAAGTTGGCTCAAACTACAACTATAGCAGGAAGTCCTATCATGGGTAGTATTTCTCCAGAAACTGCTCTGAGGACTACTTCCAGTGAATCGACACCCTCAGTTAGTCCAACAGGAATTGAATTGGAAGCATCAACACCCGCTATGAAATCAACCTCAGTTGTAAATACACCTGGCTTAACATCTCCTGTTGAAAACTACATTGGCTCAAACTACACCTGCAAAAAGTACTACCCTAGAAAGCATTTCTTCAGAAACTACTTCAGAAACAACTCAGACGTGACTACACCTGGCTTAACATCTGTTGAAACTACGTTGGCTCAAACTACAACTAATGCAGAAAGTCCTATCATAGGCAGCATTTCTCCAGAAACTGCTCTGAGGACTACTTCCAGTGAATCGACACCCTCAGTTAGTCCAACAGGAATTGAATTGGAAACATCACCTGTATTGATAACTGCTATGAAAACAACCTTAGTTGCAACTCCACCTGGCTTACCATCTGCTGAAACTACATTGGCTCAAACTACTACAGAAAGTCCTTTCATAGGCAGCACTTCTCCAGAAACTACTTCTCTGAGGACTACTTCCAGTGAAACGACACCCTCAGTTAGTTCAACAGGAATTGAGTTGGAAACATCAACACCTGCTATGAAAACAACCTCAGTTGTAAATAGTCCTATCATAGGCAGCATTTCTCCAGAAACTGCTCTGAGGACTACTTCCAGTGAATCCACACACTCAGTTAGTCCAATGGGAATTGAATTGGAAACATCAAAACCTGTTATGGAAACAACCTTGGATATAAATACACCTGGCTTAACATCTCCTGTTGAAAACTACATTGGCTCAAACTACACCTGCAAAAAGTACTACCCTAGGAAGCATTTCTTCAGAAACTACTTCAGAAACTTCTTGGATGTGACTACACCTGTCGAAACTAAGTTGGCTCAAACTACAACTAATAAAGGAAGTCCTATCATGGGTAGTATTTCTCCAGAAACTGCTCTGAGGACTACTTCCAGTGAATCGACACCCTCAGTTAGTCCAACAGGAATTGAATTGGAAGCATCAACACCCGCTATGAAATCAACCTCAGTTGTAAATACACCTGGCCTAACATCTCCTGTTGAAAACTTCATTGGCTCAAACTACACCTGCAAAAAGTACTACCCTAGAAAGCATTTCTTCAGAAACTACTTCAGAAACAACTCAGATGTGACTACACCTGGCTTAACATCTGTTGAAACTACGTTGGCTCAAACTACAACTAATGCAGAAAGTCCTATCATAGGTAGCATTTCTCCAGAAACTGCTCTGAGGACTACTTCCAGTGAATCGACACCCTCAGTTAGTCCAACAGGAATTGAATTGGAAACATCAACACCTGTTATGGAAACAACCTTGGATATAAATACACCTGGCTTAACATCTCCTGTTGAAAACTACATTGGCTCAAACTACACCTGCAAAAAGTACTACCCTAGAAAGCATTTCTTCAGAAACTACTTCAGAAACAACTCAGATGTGACTACACCTGGCTTAACATCTGTTGAAACTACGTTGGCTCAAACTACAACTAATGCAGAAAGTCCTATCATAGGTAGCATTTCTCCAGAAACTGCTCTGAGGACTACTTCCAGTGAATCGACACCCTCAGTTAGTCCAACAGGAATTGAATTGGAAACATCAACACCTGTTATGGAAACAACCTTGGATATAAATACACCTGGCTTAACATCTCCTGTTGAAAACTACATTGGCTCAAACTACACCTGCAAAAAGTACTACCCTAGAAAGCATTTCTTCAGAAACTACTTCAGAAACAACTCAGATGTGACTACACCTGGCTTAACATCTGTTGAAACTACGTTGGCTCAAACTACAACTAATGCAGAAAGTCCTATCATAGGCAGCATTTCTCCAGAAACTGCTCTGAGGACTACTTCCAGTGAATCGACACCCTCAGTTAGTCCAACAGGAATTGAATTGGAAACACCAACACCTGCTATGAGAACAACCTTAGTTGTAAATACACATGGTTTAACATCTCGTGTTGAAAACTACATTGGCTCAAACTACACCTGCAAAAAGTACTACCCTAGGAAGCATTTCTTCAGAAACTACTTCAGAAACTACTTGGATGTGACTACACCTGTCGAAACTAAGTTGGCTCAAACTACAACTAATGCAGGAAGTGCTATCATGGGTAGTATTTCTCCAGAAACTGCTCTGAGGACTACTTCCAGTGAATCGACACCCTCAGTCAGTCCAACAGGAATTGAATTGGAAGCATCAACACCTGCTATGAAACCAACCTCAGTTGTAAATGCACATGGCTTAACATCTCCAGTTGAAAACTTCATTGGCTCAAACTACACCTGCAAAAAGTACTACCCTAGGAAGCATTTCTTCAGAAACTACTTCAGAAGCTACTCAGATGTGACTACACCTGGCTTAACATCTGTTGAAACTATCTTGGCTCAAACTGCAACTAATGCAGAAAGTCCTGTCATAGGCAGCACTTCTCCAGAAACTGCTCTGAGGACTACTTCCAGTGAATCGACACCCTCAGTTAGTCCAACAGGAATTGAATTGGAAACACCAACACCTGCTATGAGAACAACCTTAGTTGTAAATACACATGGTTTAACATCTCGTGTTGAAAACTACATTGGCTCAAACTACACCTGCAAAAAGTACTACCCTAGGAAGCATTTCTTCAGAAACTACTTCAGAAACTACTTGGATGTGACTACACCTGTCGAAACTAATATGGCTCAAACTACAACTAATGCAGGAAGTCCTATCATGGGTAGTATTTCTCCAGAAACTGCTCTGAGGACTACTTCCAGTGAAACGACACCCTCAGTTAATCCAACAGGAATTGAATTGGAAGCATCAACACCTGCTATGAAATCAACCTCAGTTGTAAATGCACATGGCTTAACATCTCCAGTTGAAAACTTCATTGGCTCAAACTACACCTGCAAAAAGTACTACCCTAGGAAGCATTTCTTCAGAAACTACTTCAGAAACTACTCAGATGTGACTACACCTGGCTTAACATCTGTTGAAACTACGTTGGCTTAAACTACAACTAATGCAGAAAGTACGATCAATGGCAGCACTTCTCCAGAAACAGCTACTCAGAGGACTACTTCCAGTGAAACGTCACCCTCAGTTAGTTCAACAGAAACTGTATTGGAAACATCAACACTTCTGCAGAGAGTACTATCCAAGGCAGCACTTCTGCAGAAACTACTTCCCTAGGCTCTACTTCTGCTGAATATAGTTAGTTAAACAGGAATTGTATTTAAAACATCCATGCCAATGACAACAGCTATGAAAAGATCTGTTTTAAGTACACCTGGCTTAACATCTCCTGTTAAAACTACCTTGGCTCGAGCTACATATTCTGCAGAATACTACCTTAAGCCGCACTTTTCAAGAAACTACTTCGAGGACTATTTCCACATCTACACCTGTTTGAAAATGACCTCTTACTAAAACTAGTATAACATTTGCTGTTAAAACATCCTCAGACACAGCACTTCTGCAGATACTTCTCCCATAGGAACTACTGCTGAAACAGAGGGTGTTAATTCAACAGGAGTTGTATTGGAAAATTCCACACCTGTAATTACTTCTCAAAAAACATCACCAGTTGTAACCATACACCTGGCTTAACATCTGCTGTTAAAACTACATCTCAAACTACAACTTCTGCAGGAAGTACTTCCCTAGGCTCTACGTGTGCTGAATCTATGCCTTCAGTTAGTTAGTTAACATCTGCTGTTAAATCCACATTGGCTCAAATTACATCTGCAGAAAGTACCTACTCTAGGCAGCATTTCTCCAGAAACTAATTCTCTGAGGACTACTTCCAGTGAAAAGACGCCCTCAGTTCAACAGGAGATGTATTGGAAACCTCAACACCTGTTATTATGACAACTGCTATGAAAACAATCTCAATTGTAAATATACCTTGCTCAGTTGCACAATTAAAGTAAAATTATCAGCTACATTAAACTGATTCTCATAAGTATGTTTTCCTGTGAACTCCTGTAACTGTTAATGCTAATTAATTATTTATTGTGTTATAAGAATGCATTTTATAGTTCTGTAGAGGTTGCATAAATACAATAAAACTTTTCTTCATGCAAAGCTGTTGTATGGCTCAATAAAACATCTAGCACACATATCGACAGGACTGCTTTTATCGCGCTTAAACAATGCAGGTTCAATTTCAATCATTTATATCTGCTTAAATCTGCTTATTTACCAAATCATTTTTTGCACTTTCCTGGAGTTCTGGATATACACATAATACAAGAATAAAGAAAAAATTATGAAAAAGAAATGTACTTTAAAAAGAAAGAAATGAACATGTAGATTCTCAAACATACATCATCTCAAATTTGTATTTACATCTATCGTTTCATTTGTATTTACATGTACTTAAATCTAAACTCCAAACTCTCAGGTTGACAAATTCCATAAGCCCCCTGAATTATGAATTAAAAACCGGTAGTAATTGGTTCGGTGTATAGCTATAAGCCTGAGGATTAAAATTTATGCAAATAACATAATTAAATCAAAAGTGTGAGTTGACATCTTGATGAAATGTTTGTAGTATCAGTGCTTATCTGTGACTTAGCTCACCTGTATCAGTAGTGTTAAAGTTTAACAAAGACTGCATTAAACTGATTTTGAGATGACATTCAGCTTCATTCTTTTCTTGATGCAATTCTATAGAACATTCAGGATCAGCGGAAATATTGATATTTTGAATATAGTTTTGAAAAAGAACCCTTTCACATGTACTAACTATAAGAGTCCAGATGACAGTCATGATTAAGGTCCATTATGTTTGTTTTTTTCTATTCAAGTTCTAAAATTAATTTAAAAGCCTTTATTTTACTGGATATTTTATAATAGAAAATTAAAAGACATGGGGATTAGCAACCCATGTGTGGCGGCGCAAACAGCCTTCTTCAGGTTGTGCTTTCCTAATAAACAATTTCCCCTTTTGTGCGTGATAATTAGAACACTATACCTGAGTGACATGGTGAGTAACCACATGAAGCATGCCAAAATAATACACATACAGAGAGTCAACTTGGTGCTACTTGAATCAAAAAACAAATGTATATACAGAGAAAATTATCACAAAAAAGCACTGAAATCTATTTTTCATTCAACCCTGGGTACACTGTGGCCTGTAAATCATATACATAACATAAGAATGTTTCTCTCTGGAAAAGTAATTTTAATTGGTCATCACCCCGAATGTTCTTTTTGATCGTTTGTTCCTTTCTAAACACTCAACACTACACTCATATGTATGTATTGTTATTCTTATTTTATTATACATTGTTGGTTACGATTTATTATAGATGTCTATTTTAAAGGGGTCATATAATGGTACATGCACTTTTACAAGTTGATTGTACTGCAATGTGTGTTGTCAGTGCCTGTAGACAACCATCATTTAATAATAAAAATCCATCCAGTGGTTTTGTTTTAATCTCCTTATATGTTTTCCCCTGCCTCAAATCGAACCGAGCACGCCCCTCCCACGATTGTTGATTGACAGCAGTGTTTCAACCCGCCCTTAGCGAGCTGTCATCATAGACTATAGTCCGTCATTGTTGATACACTGGATCAGAGTGGCGTCTAAGCGATTGTGTTGTTCTGTTCTTGGGTGCAGTAACGAACACAGAAATCATTCTGATGTTCCTAAATTTGAAGCGCTGAAGACGCAGTGGCTGAGTTTTGTTTACGGTGGGAATATTCCCCACTATCAACGCGAATCATTTCTCACCAGACTGGTTTATAAACGAGGATCAGTATAAAGCTGGTTTTGCTAAGGAGCTGCTCCTGAAAAAATAATCGGTACCTACTATTTATGTTCCCTCTGCACCTAGAGTTTTATTAATCTTTATATTAATATTTGCTAAATGTGGGAAAAAGTTTTTCATGACCATAGTTGTAACGTCAATCTGTCAATGACCTAACGTATACGTCAGTAAACACAGCATTCGTATCTCACTACTCTACCCTGCCAGTTCATACAAAGATAGATCAAAGTAACATTACGTTAACCAGCCATTCAGAAACGTCCTCAAGCCTTAAAGATGAACTGAACTGAAATTTGAGAAGAGGTGATATAACAGATGTATTTTATTTATTCTCATTGGTACAATTTTTAAAATGGCAGAATTTGTTAAAAGGGATAAAATGGTACATTGAAAGTGTTGTTTTTGTTACACGGGCGCCGCCATGTTGGATTTCAACGTTCGACTACGTCACTGGCATGGTAAGCCACTCCGTTGCCTACCCGCACCAGCAGAACAGCCGTAGCTTGTAAACAGTCTGAGGCTCGCTGACATGGCTGAGGAAACAGATTTTTTAGCGACACACTATTTAGAGATATGTACTTTCGTCAATCAGTACACGAAACGTCTGACAATGCATGAAATGTTTTATTTACACAAGTTACAAGTTCAATGCATCACGTTAACGTTACTCGAATCCTTGATATTCGGGTGAGGGGGAAAAGATCCCTGATGTATAGTTCACTGTAAAGGATGGGATTTTCTCCTTCCTAAATGCACCCTTGCCCATAGAGTGAACTGCCAGTACGCTGTTAATCTAAACAATCTGAGAAAAGTCTAACAAGTTAGCCCAGCCGTCACCTATTCGTAAAATACCCTGCTACTTATGGGGCGGTCCAGCGTCTCAGCTCGGACATCCATTAGAGACAGCATAGCCTCCTTCAACACGTTTCTCTCACTGAACAGCATCCGAAATGAACGGTGCATGGTGATGCATTTTTCGCCAATCAATAAATGTCCATGTTGACCTCTCTGCAACAGATCGTCTCCGTGCAGTGTCTCCACAGCGCTCGCGCCCGCAGTCACTTTCCCCCAAACGATCCTGTACTGCAAGTGAAGCCTGAAACTGATCGTCCTCCATGTGGTGGTCGTCAGACACTACCGGCCTGTCCCTCACGGGCTCAAATGCGTAATCCATGCCGTTAAAAGTGCTCATTTTCGTCTGTGTATATAGGACCTACAGCTGTTGTCTATGGCGCTCCGTGGGTCCTACCATGCCAGTGACGTCATCGGAACTGCCAGCGCTAACAAGCGCAATTTTGCGTTGCTTAGAAAAGCTGTATTAATATATATTTTTTAAAAATGTTTAGTGTAATTTACTTTTAATTGTCATAAACAACACGTTTTCGACGTCGATATTTTTCAGTTCAGTTCATCTTTAATTATCGAACTTCTTTGCAGCCGTGATCTTGTTCTGGTGCGACTCCGGTTCAAACTGATACGGTTGCACAGATGTGTCCTCAGATACTCCTGCTGCCATTCTCTCTCCAATACCTTGTTGTCAAGGCAACACTCCACCTGCGTTCATGCCCGCAGAACAGAGGGTGGGGTTTATTATTTAAAGGCATATGCACTGAAATGGCTTGCTGAAAACAGAGCTGATTTTGACCAGGTAAAATGGTGTTTTCTTAAAATACTAATGAGAGGTTTTAATAAAATTATATTACAAAGTTTTGATTTAGACCCTAAACATTCATATTAACTTGTTCAAAAATGGCATTATATGACCCTTTTAACATCACTTAAACCTGCGTATACTGGCGGGTGATGGTAGGGGGCAGTTTTGAGCTGCAGGGTTAGGGTTATCAGGGTTAGCTGGTTATCTCTGGCCAAACTATTTCTGGCGCGTGCAATGATGACGCAGTGAATGGTGATGATTCTCTCTGACCAATCAGCAGTCAGCATTGTTTTCACGTCACATGTTAGTATCGGCTCAGCTCGCCTTAGCTTGCTCAGAACCTCGCCGGAGGGGATACAAAAGAAAGTACCCGAAAGCAGGTACAGGTACAACTTTTACACAGTGGAAAACGAAACAAAGCCAAGCCAAGTCGAGTCAAGCTGGTACTGTGTAGGGGAAATGTGCTGTGTAACACAAGAATGAACCTCATTGATTCTTGCTGAAGCTCAAACGTATACCATAACGTCTCGGTTACATATGGTAACCCTCGTTCCCTGAGCAGGGAACGGAAACGTCTTGTCGTAGGAGTTTCCCAACGAATTGGGAATTGGGAGACCAATTGCTTTCGAGTTGCTCCCTTTTGTATGGGAACTCTTACGTCTTGTCGGAGGAGTTTCCAACAAATTGGGATCCCTAACAACATGCCATGGTGCTGGCCCCTTCCAGTGCCTGGCCTAGCCTCCCCCCAAAGCAGTTTCTTAGTTTTCTTTATGGCAGGAGCTAGATAGGAAGAATCACACTGCTGTTCCGCAAGACCCTCTCAGTGGATTTGGATAACACATGAAAAGCGTGCCCAACCTATAGGAGGAAATCCGCCTCGCCTTGTACCGGAGGGGTGAAGCTATAAAACCTGGCAAACGTGCTAGGTGTAGCCCAGCCCGCAGCTCTACATCTGTCTGTCAGCAAGGCGCCTTGTGCCAGCCCCCAGGAGGAGACGACACTGCTATTGGAGAGAGCCGTCAACCTAGGTGGGCAAGGTACATCCTGGGATTCATAAGCCCCGGCAATAGCATCTACTAGTCAGTGGGCTAACCTCTGCTTGGAGACACCCTTGCCCTTCTGCTTGTCTCCGTAACTGACGAAGAGTGGGACAGAGAAAAGCTAGGGCTGGGAGTGCCTCCTCCAAGGGCAGCGCTTGCAGGTTCACTACCTGATCTACAAACGTAGTGGTAGGAACCTTGGGCACGTACCCGGTCTCAGAACAACGTGAGAAAGGCCCGGTCCGAACTCCAGGCACGATTCGTTGAATGTATCGTGATGAGCGGCTATTGAGGCAACATACACTTTGACGGTGGAGGGAGACAGCCTTCGCTCCAACCCATCTTCTAAGTTCGGGGGTCTTCCCGTCGGGAAGAACACCAAATGCATAGATGCAAGATGGCGCCGTGCATGTGACAGCCTGTCACAGAAAGGTCAGAGTCCTATTCATTTGTTAAGATGACTGAGATCCTTTGGGGTACGTCAGGTACTACTCAAGACATTCTATGACTCTGTAGTCTCATCTGTGGTTTTGTACTCGATCACATGTTGGGGTGGGGGACTGTTGAAAATGGAGAAGAATAAGTTAAATAAACTTATAAAGAAGGCAGGCTCTGTGGTGGGGAGTGTGTTACCCACTTTAGAGGAGGTAATGCAGGATAAAATGATTGGGAAACTTTCTCTTATAATTAATCATGACTGTCATCCTCTTAATAAAATATATCAAGCTCTTGTGAGTACTCACAGCTCAAGATTATTTTATCCACGCTGCTACAAAGAGTGTTTTAAAAAGTCTTTTCTCCCAACTGCAATTCGATTTTATAATTAGTGTTATATAAGATGATACAAATGATGGTCATATATAATCATAGTTATAATACTTTGAAAAATTGACCTAGAACCTCTGTGTCCCATCCAGGGACCAGACATGGAGTCTCCAGAGGTCTGGACGCGGGTGCCACAGAGTGCCCAGTCTCTGAGAAAGCAGATCCTTCCTCAAAGGAATGGACCAGGGAGGTGCTGTCGCGAGGAGCATGAGTTCCGGGAACCAGGTCCGTTTGGGCTAGTCCAGCGCAACTAGCAAGACCTGCTCCTCGTCCTCCCTGACTTTGCACAGTGTCTGTTCAAGAAAGCTCACTGGGGGAAACGCACATTTGCGAAGGCCCCGGGGACAGCTGTGTGCCAGTGCATCTGCGCCGAGAGATCCTCCGGTCAGGGAATAGAACATCTGGCAATGGGTCGTGTCTGGAGAGGCAAACAGATCTATCTGAGTGTCTCCGAAGATTCCCCATATCAGCTGGACCACCTGGGGATGGAGTCGCCATTTTCCCGGAAGGGGCAGTTGCTGTGAGAGCTCGTCTGCCGCACGGTTGAGCACACCTGGGATGTGAACGGACCGAATCGACCTCAGATACTTAACCACAAGAGTGGACTTCGTCTATCCATAGCTTTGTCAACATTCTCAACCTTGAACATACAACTGCACGACTCAATAAGGCGCAACCAATGGCTGTGCAAGCTTGGAACTCTTTCTCATCTAAGATAATTTCTTGGTCCAGGGACAACAGCTAGGCAATCTGTGTTGTGAATTATACCTGCCAAACATATTTCTGTTGTTTAATGTATTGTCTTATTATATGTATTGACTCACTCATCCATTCATTACCATTGTGATGTTTTTCTTTATCTTATTCTTTTTTCTTTTTCCTTTCTTTTTTTCCCCTCATTATATAGTCGCATATGATTTTGGAGATGTCTTTTGGAGATTTTGGAGATTTTTTTTTTTGCAGATTTTGGCATGTTTGGCTTTCCACAACACCAACATGCTTCCATACTGCCAAAAGCTTTTTCACACGCGCCCGGGAAGGCATGGGGGCGGGGCAAGGCGATTACGCATTGCACTGCGCCCCCAGAGTAGCCCGGGAAGTGTGGCTGTCAAGTCTGAACCTGATTCAGCATAAGCACACTCACCATTACAGTGGGAACTCAGCATCATCATTTCCAGAGAGTAACAGCCCTCTCTCCGATGCAGCGATCGACATCTGCCCTCCCCTGTAGCCCTGAATGAAATAGCTGGTCCCTCATGAGAAGGACCAAAGATTCCACCCGAAAGCTGCCAGGCATGCAAAACAGTGAACGTGGCCATACCTTTATGGCACACGGCACACTCAACCCCTCGAGAAAGGCAAGACGAACAACGTGCCGACATGGTCATGCTCTCATTAGAGAGCATAAACCACCCACGAACAGAGTCTCAGGCTGAACTCCGCCATGTGCTTGCTACTTTGGGTATGATGTTATGAAGGAAAAATATAACAAATTCATATATTCAACCAACATAGAACAGTGTGATCAAATGTTGAAAACATTGAGAATTAAAAATGCATAATTTTGCTCATTGGAGCACTGTTTGAATTTCAGGTGAGAGGTTGTCTGAGGGTGAAGTGGATCAGTTGCTGGCAGGGCAAGAGGACACAAATGGTTGTATCAACTATGAGGGTAAGAGACAGTTACTCAAGACTTCCCTCTACTGACAAAATGAATGACTTGAAGTTTCTCATTGAAATGAATCTTATGTTCTTACTCCCAGCTTTTATGAAACATGTCATGGCGGCTGAGTGATCGTTTCTGGTAAGTTCTAAATCAGGGCTTCCCAAGCCTATCAACATTAACATTTCAATAAATATAATGACTAAATAATGAAAGAAACTGATTTTGTGTAGAGTTTTAATGCACGTAGTTCAGCCAGTTCAAGACCTCATGAACTTACAGAACTTCCATCATGAACTCCTACAGAATCACAAAGCCCTGGTCCTGATCTGAACTATAATATACTTTGCTGGTACATTTTAGACTTTAATTTATTTTGCATCTTTTCTTTTGGCCTATGTACAGTGGCAGCCTCACATGTCATGTTTTCGAGTTGACATCAATAAAACAACATTTTTGTAAAATATTATATACAGTAACTATTAAATTCAATCTGTTCTTCAATCACCACTTTGAAGCTGTTTTACATCAAGTGCAAATTATTAGTGCCACAACAGGAGGCAAAATGCCAACACAATCTCATGAAAGTGTGTATCCCATACATTAAATTTCTCCTGCCATTTATAGGGTTACGCCAAAAATGATTTTGCCGTGCATATGCTACGCTCTGTAAATCTCTTGGTATAGGGGTGTGGAGTGCGTGGGTATTACTCGCCAAAAAGTATGTATCATATGCATGCAAAAACTGTGTATACACGCAAAAACTATTTTTGGCATATAAATGGCAAGAAAAATTTGTGGTATAGATGCCCACTTTCATGAAAATGCAGGAGTCTGGTGTAAACTTTACTTTATGCCAAGAGAGAATCAACACAGCTGTCGGCGGATAAAACGTTGTCTTTGGTGGGGCTTGTGCACTGGGTTTGCCTTAATCCCCAATGTCAGGAACTTTTCTCTGGCACATATGATAAACCGATTGTAGTGAAGTCCAAGCTGTTGCTTGTTCTCACACGACAGCATCAAACTTCTGTCACGCTGACACACTGACCCCAGAGGATCTTTCGGAAAACTTTCAGTTGTTTTATTCAAAGTCAAGGAAAACCGAGCAGGACCAAGCCAGTTTACAGCTGATCGCCGTCAAAAAAGTTCAGCGGCGACGTCCCAAGGTTGACAACAGCGACATGCATAACGTTAGATCATGAATCATAATTCATGATGATGTGCTCGTCTTAGTTAATGTTTTAATTAAGGTTTTGTTCATCCATGAAGTCATGAATGAAAAACGTTGAACTGTTAAAAAAACGTTGTTAGTTCCTGATAATATGAATTAATGCATAATTCATTTATCCATGAATTCATGATAATTCATGACATGAACCCTTAAAGTGTTACCGAATATTGTTATATTAAAGCAATGGATTTATAGTATACACAAGAAATTCAATGTGTATAAAATTTTATTTTGATTAAATACATTGTGGTTGTGTAAATGTGCCCTTGGTGATTTTCAAATAAGCTACTTTAACTTTACTTGCGTCAATATCCATAAAAGTAGGCTATATTTACTTATGCTTAAAATTGATGATTGGACACTTACTCATTCCTTTCTATAATAAAAATGAATACTCATAACTTAAGTTTGTTTGGCTAGGCTACATCTGACATGGATGAAAGAAACTGGACGTCAATTTACCATTCTGAATAGCTGACGTCATAAAACACCTGAACCAAATGGACCTTAATCAGATCTGGTACCACCTGTCTCAAATAAACCATGCCCGTCCTATAGTCTGTCTTTGCACATTTCAGGACTTTAAAAGTCTTTGAGAATAAAGCTTTTTTTACGGTGGTTTTCCAACAGGGTTTTGCAGTTTCAGTACAGAAACCAGGTTTAGTCTTCTTTAATCAAAAGAGAGACAGCCGAGTGCCATATTTAAGGACTGGTGAAATTATTCTAACCGACTAAAATGGTAAGATAAAGCACTCATAACAATGAAGTATAAAAATTAACAAGTGTAAACTGTAACGCTTAAATGTTAATCATTTGTTCTGGGAAAGAACTTTGCTTTGATGAATGAGTGTTTTTTTAGATGAATGCTTTCATGGCCTGCCTTGCTTGTCTGTGGCTAATGGTGCACACCGCATCATCCACTGTGTGTAAGTATTTGTTTGTCATTCCTCTGATTAATGTCACTGTAGACTGTCATGATTCAAACATTAATGTCCATTTGCCTTCTGGGTTTTTTTTTTTTTTTAGCGTGGTGTTATAACAAGCCATCCTGCAGTAAGTTCCCCCATACCTTAACCTAAATTAAAGATAATCCTAGCTACAACAAAGATCCGTTTAAAATATTGTGTTCAATGATAAAATCTGAGCAAGTTAACAAATTACTTCACTGTTAACAGGGTGAGGAAGTTTAAATTACGTTTTTGCATTTCAGGTGAGGTCACTTGGGCAAAAATTGCAAGTAAAGACTGTAATGGCAGTCAACAGTCTCCAATAAACATCATATCTGCCAATGTCCAAGCTAATGCTAATCTGACCCCTTTCAACTTCACTGGCTATGGTGACAAAGCCACCTTGACTGAGATTAAAAACACTGGCAAGACAAGTGAGTTCATCTCTTTATTGTCTTAAACTGTTTATTCTAGTTTTCTGACAGGAGTGAGTTTCCCGAAGTCAACTATAGCTCTGTCGTTTACCAACACAATTCAGCAAAACTTGAGAAACTAAAGTTCTAGAGTATTTTTCAAGTTAAACTTAACTTTATCGCTGTGTCTTTAGACTGTGTTGTGCAAAAGATAAACTAGCTTTGATCGGAATCTCACTGTTCAATTTGTTGTGGCTTTACTCTTCAGTTAAAGTTACACTTGATCACAAGAGAATGCGTGTGGAAGGAGGTGATCTGCCAGGCTTGTTTTCCAGCAAGCATTTTCAGCTCCACTGGGGTAACAGCAGCGCCATGCCTGGATCTGAACACTCTGTGGATGGGAAACGATACCCTATGGAGGTATGAATATAATGTAATGCAATAAAGCTTTGTTTTTATTATCAGTCTTATGAACGGTCTTGTGTCTCAGATGCACATCATAAATAAGGCGGAGCATAATGGCAGCATGTCTGGTGATCCTGAAATGGCAATTCTTGGTGTCTTTATTGAGGTACGTTGCCTTTTCCTCTCTCAAATTTGGAAAAACTCTTTCAGCAGAATGTTTAATTGAAATGTCACCCACAGGCCACTAATGACATTGGGAAACCGACGAGCTGGAAGTACTTAACATCTTACCTTAAGAAAATTGCCAATGCAGGTTTGCCATGATCCTAGAGTATGAGGAAAGGAGTGGTTGTATAAAACATGCTGGTAATATCATAAATGTATTAATTTTGTCTAAGGTGATGTAGCAAACATTTCCTACACTATTTCCATGAATGATCTGCTTCCTGGAGTGGACAGGACGAAATATTACCGTTATATGGGCTCTTTGACTACACCAAACTGCACTGAACGTGTTGTGTGGACCATCTTTAAAGATCCCGTCAAAGTCAGCCGAGATTTGGTAAGTGTATACATACAAAATATTTAGACTTGGTCTTATTTTGCAGCTTCTGGCCATTCATGTCACAAGCTAACTAGCTAAACTTTCTAAACCTGAATGTAACAACTAGCCATGTAGCTAATTGCTAATGGCAGTTAAGGTTTGGTGTAGCCTTTAGCTATCCTTACAAGCCTACTATCTGTCTGACATGAAAAACACTTCAAGGACCACACCAGGCTTCATACAAGTTTATTTCCAATGATTCCTTGCTCCAAACGTATCCCTGTAGCAGCATTTATTCTCATATCTATTTCTTTACCTAACAAGTCCAGTTGAAATTTTGGCAATTTTTCAACTTCTGGTCGAAGCTTATTGAACATATAGGACACATACCTCTCTTAGAGCATAATATTCTGAGAATTTAAAAAAAAGTAAGTCTCTACCCAGATAGCAAACTGACATTGAATCAACGTGGAAATATGACATCGAAACAACGCTGATCTGACATTGTTTTGCTCATCGAATTAACGTTGAACCAACGTCAGACGCGTCATTCTTTCAAAACTAACGGAAAATCAACTTGAAAGCAACGCGTTGTTTCAACGTTATGAAAGCAAACCAATTTTCGATTTTCATTTAGCTTTGAAGAATGCCGCGAAAATTCTATTGAAATTCTGAGCCTGTTGATCGCCAACTAGTAGTGAAATCATCACAGATCCATTGATTTTGTTTGGATTTTTATATTTTTTTCTGTGAAATGAGTATAGTGTTTGGTGAAAAGAATGGCATATTGCCTGATGTCATAACTTAATGGAATAGTTGATTGCCAATGAAGTAAAGATGAAAATAGTGGAAAAAAAGTGAAAAAACGCCTGTTTTTTTGCATTAAATTGATGCAAAATCATGTAGAAATGTGTTTTAAGAATTATTTTTTCAGTGTATGTTGTCCGCACATGTGTTCTGTGTATCTGGAATGCATTTATTTAGAACCTACCCAACCCACTAAGGATTTGATGAAAAAAATATTTTTTCACATTTTTCTGATAAAAAATAAAGGGTGCGTACACTAAAATGCCCACAATTTTTTTTTCCGCGATATTTCCGGCAGAGCAGACCCTCCAATTATTTGTTCTTAGGGTCAAAGTTAACAGAAACACAAATAAAAAGTATGGCAGACCATGTCAGGTTCAACCCATTTTATAGAGCTTTTGAGACTTTGGCTCCCTGACTACCATGGGTGAGCTTCCTGTACAGTGACATAACTCTCTGCTTAACTGTAGTATGATGCGTCATTGAACTAGCTAGTCACGACTGTTTCGCAAGTTGGTCGTTCAACCACGTTGGTTAATCTCCTTGGAGTAATAACTACTGAATCTGTTTGAGATCAAATTAAATTGTGCTATAAATCAAGGACATGGCATCTAAAGGGCTGTTTCTTTGTTGTGCTTTAATTGGGGGGGGGGGGACTTCTCGGGCCAGCAGCATATGTCCAAATTTCAATCTTAACCGTTCCATTTCATCAGAAACGATCTTAAAACGGCTTTAAGTGTAAAATACCGAACTTGCGGTTTCTTAAATCAAGAAAACGAGTTTTAAAGGACTACTACCATGTCTAATATCGATATAGCTAACTGCAGTGTGCAAGAAGTGTCTCATAGCCACCGAGCGAACGCACAGAGTAGCATCGTAACAACTTTCAACACCCTCAAATGTATCCAACATGATAAACTTTTGCGTTACCCCACATACACATGACTGGAAATGCGTCTGTGGGATTATAAAAGCTCCACTGCTCTCGAGCAGTCTCTCGTGCTCGTCTCCCATTAGCAATAGCTCCAGCGGCACCTCTAGTGGTGAACTTGCATGGTGTGCCTTACGATATAAGCTGCGTCCGAAATCGAATACTTCCCTACTATAAAGTATGCGAAAAACGGTATGTCCGAAATCATAGAATTCGAGAAACGGTAGCCATAAGTACCCTGATGAACTACTTCCAGCGAGATGCTGAAGTGCACATACGGTGGGCACTTTATCCCATGATGCCACGGGAGAGGAGTTGTTGTCGTTATATTTGAAAATGGCGGAAACCGGAGACGCAGCTGTAACGTTAGGAGAAACGCAGACACGCATGCATATCTATATTGATTCTTTCATGTTTATTTATTGATGGTAATATCACAAGCAAATAAATGGCTTTTTCCTTGCCAAAAATCGACATCTGTCATAAAGCTTGTGTGTGTTTTATGAGGTACAATTTATTAGGTAAATGTTATTTGAGAAATTCCGCAAAAGGCGTAATCTGCAAGCAGCTGACCGATGCCTCTTGATTGTCGGCTTGGACGACATAATGCAGATGTAAGCAGAGCTAAAAACAGCGCAAAGCTGGTGCAGTCACTGGAATGGGCTCTTTAGACTTTCCCACCGTTGTGACGAGTGTATGTCACGCGACCACAACATGGCGCATGTAGTGCGTCCGGACTCATTCATACTACAGGCAATTTTTTTTATTTTTTTTTTATTATTTTTTTAATGGTCGTGAAGTGTGTTCTTATTTCAATATAGTATTTACTCTCATAGTACGTGATTTCGGACATGGCAATAGTCTTTGGTATAACTGACTCCATCACATTAAGTTTTAGCTGCAGTCCAAATGGTTGGAATTAACATGCAGTTCAGTTCCTGAGACATCTCAGCATCTTCAACTTTTAAACCGTTTTTGTATATTCTAGATTGACCTCTTCACTAAGACCGTCTACGTCAGCAAGACCACCAATTCTTCTCTCATGACCAACACTTTCCGGAGTGTTCAGCCCATCAATGGCAGGATTGTGACGTCACAGGTAGCGGGTGGCAAAACGTCTGGCCTACTCAAACCAACTACATCAACAACCACTAAACCAACTACACCAACATCAACCACTAAACTAACATCAACTGGAAAAACGACTAAATCAACGGCGACAAACCCATCCCAGGCTCTCGTGTGTCCACTTCTGAGTCTCGCACTCCTGTACTGCATCCTACCTTTGTTGTAAAACCGCTCGACGAAATGAAGGTACTTTTGAACTGATGGTATAATATTCCTTATGTTAAAAAAAAAAAAAAAAAATTCTATTATCCATGTAAAATGTGTCTGGTTTAATGTGTAGTTATTGTCAAGGTTTACTATTGCTGTGGAATGATGTGTTTTTCAGCTAAATGCTAGTTTCCTCACTCTCAGCTTGTTTCCTGCAACGGTTTCATACGGAAGTGTGTACGTCTCCCAAGTTTTTCACTGAAGGTCTTGAGCGTTTGGTTGTGGTGTTTTATAGAAGTGTTTTGATTTGGTGCACAGTTTTGAAAAACATTTAAGCATGTGTTTTGGACTTTTAAATTCACTTATTTTAATATTTGACTAGTGTCAGCTTTGCAGTTGGAAATGGAAAGCAAGCAGTGAATGTAGGCAACAGGCTGAGGGTGATGGACATTGCATTGATTTAAACGTGGCTTTAGGAGAAACTTGTTAATACTTATCTCCCCTGGAAGGTAAAACTGTATCTGGTTCTTTTGGCATTTCACTCATGGCTGTTTTGTAGGTTTTCACATGTTTGGATTTTGTTTGTAGTACACTAGCCTGATCTCATGAAATGCATCTCTATAGCACGCATTGTATTTATTGTGCAGTTTATACAATGCGTGTTTTAGAGGAGTTTTTCATGGGATCCGGTTTGTACACTTTTTTTTTTTTTTCTTCCAATCCCTACTACAAAAGTGTCATTGTGTAGTGTGAATGTTTGTCAAAATGCTTTAGTGCAGAATGTTCAGTCATTTGTTTTTTTTTACTACTTGCTTTTTTTTTTGAAAAAAAAAAGTATTATTACTGTTGTCTTGAGGGAAAAATAAAGTTATTAATTGTATTAAATTTATCATCTTGCATTTTGTCTTGTCATTTTAACTGCAGATGGCTCCATAATCTTGTGGTTTTGATTTGTCTTTGAATATAAATGAGTGTCTAGAACCATTTCAAATATATAAAATTAGTGCTAGGGGGATGGCACTAGACTAGCATAGGAAGTTATTGTCATTTGACCCTTTTAAATGTGATCTTGTGTCAGTTTTAAATGTAAAGTATTGCTTTATGGTGGTTTTAAGGGAAGGTGAGTGAATCTGTATAGTTATAAAAAAAAAAAGGTAATCTGGTTCTGTAGTATTCAGAAACCCTAGTCTTTGACCAGTGATTAAGCTTGCAATCTCGATCTTGCACGCATGTACGACTGAAGGAGATTCAGTGCCCCGATATATCCACAAGTTTCCGAGGGGCGCTCCTGTAAAAGATAAAGTGGCTGAAACTTCCGGTGAGGCGGCGGAAGTAGCATCCCAATGGTATTTTGTGTGATAGTTAGCGAAGAGGCTAGCTGTTTTTCGGATAATTATTTTACTATTTAAAGACGCAAATCTTTATGAGAGATTGTGTTACGGAGCTCAGGGACAACATGTGCTGTTCGCAGTTGTATGTATAACCGGATTAAACTAGTTCAGTGGCTTAAACGTGATTGTTTTGAACATATGCTGAAAACGAAATCAGAGTGTTCCTGCCAACGACTGTAGTTTATCACCTCCCAAAAGACGACGAATCTTCCTGTGTACATTTGTTTAAATTCTTAATATTCTATAAACGTTTATCAGCATGTGTTTGGCTGTTCTCTACTGATGTTACACCTAAACTCAGGATCAAAGCCTGTGTTGACAGAATACCAAATGTGCCAGTTAAAGTATTCAAGCAGCACATTCATTTATAATTTTGAATAAAATCCAAAGCACAATGACTAAGTGTGTATTTTTTATTTTAATTGTTTCTCAGCTAGCACAACTGTCTGTCACCATGCCTTGATGAGTATTGATTATTAATAATGTTATTATACTCCCAATCAACTACTGCGGAGGGTAAAGGTACTGTTATTTCACCCTTTTGAATTCCGTTGAGGTTGTGTTCCCACATCGTTAGCTAGTTTGGATCGCTATAACTTGAATGACTGTCAACTGTTGAATGAACGAGTGTCAAGCATGTCAAATCGCGCTTTGTTTACTTCCAACAGGAAGTCGCGCCCACTTTTGACGCAAGGCCTCATGGGGCGTAGGGAACTTGTGGATAACTCACGTCGACGTTCTTCGCTTGAAGGGTAAAGTTGGAAATATCTTTGCAGCTATACTGGTAAACACTCGGACAGTCCACAGATGAGGTATGTTAATTATAAAGCAATTTAAAACTGCTACAGGGGTGCGTTTCCTGAAAGCATCGTTAGCCAACTATGGTCGCAAGTTGGTCGCAATTTCCATTGAACTCTATTGATAACGACGGAACTTGCGACCATAGTTGGTTAACGATGCTTTCGGGAATCGCTCTTTGCCAGTGGTGGAGGAAGTACTGAATCTCAGTACTTAAGTAAAAGTACAAATACCCAGATAAATATTTACTTTAGTAAAAGTAGAAGTAACACAATGACAACCATACTTAAGTAAAAAGTAAAAAGTACTTTATTTTAAATGTACTTTAAGTATTAAAAGTAAAAGTACTTGCATAACAATTTATTATCTTAATGTCTATTTTCTAATGATTAATAAAACATTTAATTCTAACTCATTCAACCTAATAGCCTACTCCTATAATGATGTTCAATAATGATGGGAAAAAAATTACCACCATTTCTGAAACAAGCTTGCAATTAGGCAATATCATGCTTATCCTTAGTACTATATGTTAATTTAATTACTATGTTTGGCAGTAAACGCGATTTATTTATGGTGTAATTCTGAGCCTCTTGGCTTGCCATAATCCTAACCAAACCAAACATATTACACACGGTGTGTTTCCTATGCACGTAAAAACAAATTTTCGCGTATGAGTTGCATGATAAACACACTGCGTGTGAGACGCATTTAGTATGACTGGGTTGATATACTGTATCTATGGCAACCAAACGTCACTGGTGAGACAAACGTGCAACGAACGGACGGTCAGATTACGTTTTGGCAGGGGAAAAACTGATCAGAAAATGTAACGAAAATGTAACAGAAGCTGTAGAAATGTAGTGGAGTAGAAAGTATAATAATTGCTGCAAAATGTAACGAAGTAAAAGTAAAAAGTAGGCACTATTTATTGTACTTAAGTAAAGTAAAGATACGTGAAAAATGTACTTAAGTAAAGTAACGAAGTATTTGTACTTCGTTACATTCCACCACTGCTCTTTGCATGACACTGACACTACAGATGAGATCTTTTGGCTTTATGAATATTGTATGCTGCGTTCACACCCTGTTGTAATTGCCAAAAATAATCACTTATGGTAATTATGACATGAAATGAATTAAGGTGTTCATGTCATGTATCACATGGAAGAAAGGCTGTAAGGTGCGCTCAATATTTTTCCCTGCAAAAATTCACAAAAATTGTTACAGGCTTTTAAAGACAAGCTGGGAAATCAGGCAAGGTACAATGTTTTGTTACAAGCTGTTCACACATTGTAAAGTGATTATTTCATTAGCCCCTTTAAGGACATTTCTAGTTATCTGATTATTATTTTTTTTTTTTTCAATATTTACAGAATGATGTTTTAAACTAATGAAGCGTGGACGTGACGTCATATTCGAGGTCCGAGTCGGTCATTGGTTATAGTAGAACGCACCATAATAATTCAGATTATTATTACCATTTTACATTAACACAACCATGAAATGTTGGTTGGAAGAAAGTGAAAATAAAATTGTGTGTGTGTGAAAAAGAGGCAGATGAGGAGAGAAAACACAATAGGCTCTATGCACGATCGCTTCCGGGTTTGTCTCAGCAAGCCCAGTTACATCCGGTGCTGCGTCAGTCTATGGTCAGAAGCAAGGGGGTAATCTATCGACCGGAAGTTGAAGCCTCGCGGGAGCTGCCATCTTGTAGCAGAACTTCACTTGCGTTAGCATTCCCATTGACTCCCATTCATTTTGGCGTCACTTTGACAGCGAATAACTTTACATCTGAGGCGTTTGAAGACCCCATTTGTCCTTTATTTATTTCTAAAGAAACACAACAATGTATAAAATGCTCCATTACCTTGTAGCTTATGTTATGGCCCCGTAGATGCAGGTTTACTGAAAGTAGGCTAACGATTGCGTCATACCCACGCGACTCTCTGTCACACAGTAGAGAGATTACAGTATGGACAGGAGAAGAAGCTTGCGCGCAATCGGGGAAACGTGGAGGCAAAATGACAAAATAATTCATCAGAATACCTAGCAGAATTGTCTCCTTCTCCTAGATCATGGACAGCTCCTACTCACACTCTCCGCCTCTGCATGTATAGGAAGGGAATGATTCAGATTTCTCATGCCACAGCACTAGAAGACAGACGGGTTGCTCTCATCACATCTACGTAGTCAAGCTCTGTTTGAGTTTGCGCGTCAGGGACGGAAGTGCTAAAAAAATCGCCAAAAACGGGCTTCAATCGTCTCAATGGAGTTCCAATGAGATCGCTCTGTCCATTTCTTTTACTGTCTATGGTTACATCTGGTGCTGCGTCAGTCTATGATCAGAAGCCGGTTTTGCGTTAGGTGGAGATAGTGGCAAATTACACTTGCTGTTTATAAAAACGTCCTGCGGTTAACGTGAATGATGTTAACAACACTGTGAGACAGTTAGCTGTCACACAAGAGTAAAAAAGAGAAGTTATTTAAATTATATATTTCGAGCTACAACAACAGCTTTGAGGGTGAGTATTCTCTCATATCGTACGAAATTCAACTAACGAATCAGCGTTTTTAAAATCGTTGTCTCCGTCTCTGAGAAAACTGATTTTATTAAAGTTTTGCCTCTATACACTTGGCCTGCAGAACGCTCTTCCGGGAGTAAAGACGCTGACTGAGATTCTTTCGGACACACGTCAGCAGGGTTCGTGCATAGAGGCTATTTACAAAGACACATGAGTCATATTACTATGATTGGGAAAAGTGCAATACGGATACGACATACCTATGAGTTTGTGTCATTTTCTCAACATACTACGAAATCTCCATAAATGCCACACAAAACCAATTTTCCCTTAAGACTATCCACATTCTTCCAATACTGTACATTTTGCTTCTGAAACAAAACCTTTTCTGGGACTATTTGTTACGTGGTAACAGGTCTCGAAGGTCTACATTCTTCCCAAGCGTGATTTTCCACCTCTGAAAATGAAATTTTAATAACGCGCAGGTCGCTCTTTGACATGCAGTTACTATGAACGGGGTCCAAAGCTTACAGTACCAAAAAGTAGCCCATTGTTCCTTCACTAGTCTACAGGAGCTTTTGCTTTTTGTGAGTGACGGAAACAAGTTTAAGTGGGTATTAACTGACATGCCAGTTCAATGATTTCCTCAATAAGTTATTAATTTGAGACACTTTTCAAGGATTCGTTTAATCCGGTGTGGCCAAATTAATACATACTTGTTTACATTTATTCATTCATTAAAAGCTGACGCTTTTATCCAAAGTGACTTACAATTGCTATATATGTCAGATTCCAACTGTTAAAAGGGAGAGTTCACTTTGAAATTAATTTTTGGTATGTTTTAGCTTACATCAAGGGCATCCAAGATGTAGGTGTCTTTGTTTCCGCAGTATTTTCAATTTTGATATTTTTAGGTCAAACCGTTCTTGTCCGTCAGTCATATAATGCAGGTCTATGGTCACCACCTCAAAGAGCATGCACAGAGAAGTCCAAATGAAACATGATTTAATGACTCGTAAATGTAAGTACACATTGATAGCCTAATGGCACTTTTCTGGGACTATTTGTTACGTGGTAACAGATCTCGAAGGTACGGCTCGACACGGCACGGCACGGCTTAATTTGCTTTAGCTCAGTTGCTTTGCCACTGCAGTTGGTACCGCTTTAAAGT